TGGTTGTCCCTGCCATGGCCCGTAAGTTGTGCTCGGCGAAACACGGGTCGGAGCGTCGCGGAGTGCGACTTACCCAAGAGAGACTGACAGTAGAACTGGAGCCGGCCCGCTAAGCTGGATGCCTCGTTGGGTGGCAGCCTGTTGGACGTGAGGATGCTCACGAGGTCCTCGTCCAAGCGTTGTCTGCGCGCAGCGGTACCACTGACCTTCACGAAGCTGTCGTGCACGGAGATCTCGACTCCCTGAATCACCTGTGTAGTGTGCGGCGGTTGTTCCTTAGACTGCTTGAAAGAAAAACCCAAAGCCTTGCACAGTCGCTTAGAGCACTCGAAAGCGGACGAGGCGAGATCAGCGTCCTCGCAGCTCCCAAAATCGTCCACGAAGTGCAACGCTGGCGTGAGCAGGCAAGCGCGGCATAGCCATGACATGAGGTCGGCGATGCGACAGTAGGCCCATACGGAAGCCACTGACCCAAACATCAGCACTGTGTGTCGCCAAAGGGTAATGCCATGTGGCGTTGGCAGGATGACCCAAGTATGGTCGGGGTCCTCCGCCGCCAGTTGGCGATAAGCGGCCTCATGGTCCAGGCCCCAGATGAGTAACTGCGCTTGCGGGTGCTTCTGCTTGATGGCGACCGCGAGCTGAACGTAGGTAGAAATGTCGTGGTAGGTTGGGCTGTCCTTTGCACCGACCGTGGCGTTGGCGAAGGAGCGTCGCCAGTCCTCTGCCCTCCTCACTTTGGGCTTGCCGTCGGAGCCAACCTGATGCACAGCGAATGCGAAGCAGGTGGGCTTATGGGCTATTGGCCCCTTCTCCAGCTTGCTGGTGTGAGAGAACGTTGTCAAGGGAACTGCCTGCTTCGGCCACGATGCAGGGCTGCTGAAGGGGCCTTCCATACGTCCCTTGGTGACATCGCTGGCGATCTCCTGGGCCATGGCCTCCCAGCACGGGTCGACGCGGCAGCGGCGAAGCTTGTCCTTGACGTAGAGCTCGTTCTTCTGCAGGAACTCGTCTAGTGGCATGGGGTCGGCGTAGCGAAGGTCGTTGCGTGTTTTCCAACCCAATCCGGGCGCGAGAGGTCCTAGAAGACGAAACCCGTGCGTGAGCTCCTTGAAAATGTCTCTGTCTTGCCAGCCGAAGAGGTTGCACACTTTTTCTAGAGCTGGAAGCTGCAAAGAGCATGTACGAGTCTCACTGCGGTATGCTTTCTGAACATGCGGCGCGAGGTTAGCGTACCAAGCTTCCGTGTCCTCCTGCAAGTCGTCGACGAGGTCCTCAATCTGTTGGGCCACGGCGTCGCGAAGCTCCGCGAGGTGTGGCCTCATGCGTGACCACACTTGGAGCCATTGCTTCAAACCGGGCTCGATTGAGGCATCCTTCGCTTCCGGATGAGGCATGACGCGTGACTGTCGCCAGTGCTCGTCGGGGTCCTCCAAGTGTGAGAGGTCGAACTCGTCGTAGTCCCCTGGCCCGGTCCAAGCAAGGGGGATTTGCCCTGCCATAGCGCAGCTGTGATGTCAAGAGGCGTGCCCCCTAGGGGGTTCGGTTCTGCTGCTGGCGTTGGCGGGGTGGCTGCGAAGACTGCCATGATAAACATCAATCTTGCTGCGCCCGCGTGCCAGCCATTTGCAATGGCTTTGTGGCGGGCTTGGTCTGGGAGCGATGCGGACCAGCCTTTGGGCAAGTGGTGCCATTGCTCCTTGATGTTGGCGGGAGGAATCACCAAGCGTTGGTCCCGATCCATCATCATGACGCCTGACTCGTAGTGCCACGGAGCGTAGCGCCTCTTGTCAGCGAGCGAACGTTGTGTTGCCTCCGAACTGATCTTGCCTTTTGAACTCCGCGGTGCTGGGCGTCCTTGCGGGTCGTCGGCAGGTGTGGTCAGGCACGGCACTGGCTTGGCTTCGTCGGTGAGGCACCTTGGCAGGGTCAGGCCCTCGGTGTCGAAGGAGTCCAGCTCATCCTTGTCCACGTCGAAGTGCACGCGCGGGATCCCCTGCATGGTGGTCCACCGTAGGTTGAAGGGACAATCCTTGCGGTGCGCGATCTCCTGCCAGGGCACGCGACACCACCAGACTCGGGGACGAGAGATCGTCCCAAAATCCGAAGCATCGTGTACCACCGCGGGGGCGTCCAGCATGCGCTCCACCTTCCTCATATCCGCCCTGTTTTGCGGAATCACATTTTCCACGAGCAGAATGGCTCGGCTGCGGCCCCATGACTTCTCGACAGACTGGATGAGCTGGGCGAAGCGAGTAAATTTCGAGCCCTCGTGTCCGGCGTGGCCCGGAGCGTCCTGTCGGATCCTGGAAAAATCGTGACAAGGCGGTCCGCCCGCTATCACTATGCGGGCTCGACCGGACGGGTCGAGCTCTTCAACAAGCTTCTGGAGTGTCGCTGCGTCTTCCTGCTCGAAGTCTCCGCGAAGCGTCACTTGTGGGAAGTGTTCGGCACCCAAGCTCTCTAGCTCCTTGTCGATCTCCCATGATGCCCCCGACCACTGAAGGTTGCGCGCCTTGCAATAGTTGTCGCATACCATAAAGGCTGTCCCCAAGCCGTCAAAGAAGCTCAGCATCACGAAGTCGGGCGCAGTGCGGTTGTGCGCTCGAGCTACTGCCGCGCGACTCTTCAGGGAGACTGTGGGCGGCCTGGGAGGGCTGAGGGGTGGACCTTGTTCACGACGGCGAGGGAGCGGCGACCTGGAGCGGGCGAGTTGAAGACTCTCCTGTTGCTGTGGCAAGGTCGGGTCCACCCTCATGGGATGGCCCGTGCTGTCCCTATTCGTGATCGTGGTGGTCACGATGATCACGGTGATGCCCGTCACCTTGTTGCCAGGACTTCCAGTGCTTCTGGTCGTTGGCGCGGTAGCGGTTGTCGTCGTTGCGGCGCCAG